AGAACGGGTGCCAGTACTGTCCCCTCCCTGAGTCTTTACCATGGCGGGGGAAGCCCCAAGTTGCACAGCCATAGGGGTGTATCTAGGAGGGAGCGGGGGCCCGTGCCCAGTAGTTGACCTTGGATGGATCCCTGGGTGCTGAAAACTTTTGCTATACTTATGCCTTTCTTCTACAGTTTCATTCAATGCAGTCTTCAGAATCTGTGCTCTTATGGTAATTTCTTGACTTTTTGACTGTGCTTCCCTATTTCCTAGAGAGTCTTCTTCGTATTCCCTCTTGCTTAGGACTCTCTGGGCACTGGCAGACATTAATTTAATGGCACAATGGGATGTGATCCTGGATCCCAACAATGATACATCCTGTCATGCCACACATGCATGGCAGGAAGTGAGATTTTTGGGATCAAGGACAGAATCCAATTGTACTTCAGCTGGTGCAGGGAGCCTGGCACTGGGGACTGCTTCCCAATGCTGTGCTTCTGGTGGCACCCTTTTAACTTGCTGACACATGTGAAGTCTGGGATTCCAATCCCAAACTCCAAGCACAACAGCAAGTTGAAGCTTGTGGGAATAAAACAAGCCAAAGGAAAGTGAGGTTCCTACAAACATGCATTCTTCAAAATGTTCCAATGCATTTACACTTAAGGGCTATATACTTAAGAACATTAAATATTTCTACTAAGCCTTAAAAATGACTGGCATCTGCAACATTTTAACTGATACTTGTTAAAACATGTACTTTAGAACCATGTCATTTGTACTTTATCTGTACATACAGTCCTTTTCTGGAGAAATCATTTTATTTTACTGGGAAAAGCCTTTACAAAAGCAAAGGAATGTCAGGACATGAGATCTGCTAAACATCATTACTACACCATGTGTTCACCCTTGTGATGAAAAGGACAGATTATTTATTTCACAACAAATCACAGAAAAAAGGCACAATACAGAAAAACCTATAGCATGGCAAACATCTTTTACATACCTTATAGGATAGAACTTCCTTGAACCGATGACTGAAACAGAAAAAGAGACTGATTCAGTCAATAGTTGAGATCACAAAGATTGAAAATAGCAGGAGTCTTTAAGCACCTGACTGATTTTTAAACAAAATATATCATCTGTAAGAAGCAGTATTCAAAAGCAGAACTGAAGCCAGTTTTGGTTCACTTAAGTAGAAAAGACAGGCTACGTGCCATTTTATTTATCATATTTATAGAAGATCTATCTGTAAAACATTATAAATGCAAAGTATAATTGATTTTAGTCATATATTCATCTAAATACCCTATGCTACATACAGATATGCTCATATATCTACATATACAAATACCTTTTGTGTCTATCATACCGGGACTTGTCAGTTGTTACAAAGATCACATTAAATAATAGTTTATTTAATTTACTGTTAGTTTTAAGTACTATATTTATTACTACATCCCTCTGTACATTTCTGCAGCTTTTAAATCCTATTATCCTGCTTTTAAAAATATTTTCCTTGTTCTTTGAAAGACCAAAGCAAATAAAAGAAAAAATAACTACCCAGGATTTAGAATGACAATGGCATGAAGTGCTGTCATAAGCACAAGCTAATCAATCTGAACAAATGGAAAGGCAGTACTTTTCAAAAGAGTTCCATAATGCCAAGATCTCAGGGTTGGAAGTCCGTATGGTAGATTTTCTAGCATTGCATCTAAATAACATTTGTATATGTGATGGCATAAAGAACTGCCTCCAGCCTAAAACCAGGGATTAATAACACATCCCTACTTTGTTAAGCTATGGATGCATAGAGAATAGGCAGCAGTGTAGGATTGTGAGTAAGGAATTTTTGTGGTTCCAATGACGTGAACCTGTTTTTTCCTGGACAGTTAAACTTAGAATTTTTTCAGCACCGACAGCAGCTTAACAGGGAAAAGTTTGACATTAACTGTCCATTTGTATATTTGGGGGTTTTTCTCCCCCCCTTTTTAAAGTGGAACTTTAAACTTAATCTTTGCAGCCTCTGAATCATTTACCTTCGTGGAAATGTAAACTTCGCTGTGTTCTGAATGAAACCGTAACAACAAGGACAGATAACAAAGGCTGCGTGAACCTTGATGCAGTGCTCAATCACCATATCTGTTGCCACTCCGCAAGCATGCAGAGCAACCTAAAATTAAGGGGGAAAAAAACAAGAAACCTTAACTGTAGTGTTATATTCACTTACAGTTTAATTTCTTAGCAGATTTTTGGCTGACAGAATGATCTAAAAAGATTCCTCCTCACTGCAATGCAGGTTACTAGATGAAGCAAGATTCCCAGAGTGTTTCCACCTATTCAACTTTTGTGCCTCATAGTTCTTCAACATTTCTATTTTATATTTTAATGGCAAGAGAATCTTGTGACCTGCCTATGTCACTGAAAAAAACTACAGATGTTGGACTGCATTTAATGGCAGGGACACATGACATAATATGACATCAGCTCAAGTGAAAATAGAAAACCATAAAACAATTTTTCAAATACACATGATCATGAGGGTTAGAACAACAAAGAAGTGTATAGATATCTGTAGAGGTATTTCAAAGCTGAATTTCTTAATAAAAAAACCACATAAAAACAACATTAGGTAATAAATATATTTTCAGTTCCTATTTAGTATCACTTCTCCTCAAAGGTAAATTGTAATATACGTTTGATCATTTGGCTTCTACAAAGCCATGACAAAGTGATAAATCTATTTAATTAAAGAAGGTTTAAGAGATGGCACCTTTTTAGCAGAAGGGTATGGTAAACAGGCACTTGTTTATCCAAGACAATAAACCAGGTAAAGGTTTTTGTCCATCTGTTTTGCCATCATTTTGTCCACTTCCTTCTTTTTTAAGTGATGGATTTTCCTACCCTGAAATGTATTTAAAGTGTTATTTTTTATGGCAGGCCAGCCTGCAAGTGTGGAAAGACACCAGATGACTCCCCCCATAATATCTCATGCAAGAGCCAGTCACAGTTGCAAGGTCAGTTCCTTTGGAGTTTTATCTGGATGCAAAAGGAATCGTAGGAGGTGAAGCCATTGTTTCCCCTACTCCTCACCCACCCATAAGGCTGTGGGATGGGGCAGGAACACAAAGAAGAACATTTTGATTCATTTTAAGGGATGCAATCTGCATAATCCTCCTAAAACTGAACTACATCAGAAATCTGATGGCTAGAGACAGTCACTCTTGGATGGAAGCTGCTCCATAATACAGACAATGCCCATGTTTCTCAAGCACTCAGGTAATTATTAAAATAATATTTTTTAGCAGGGGGCTCCATATGAGAGCTATTAGTCTTCTCCACTTCAAACTTGCAGAGCTGTGGAATCTGTGATACCCTAATAATGCCTATGGGAAAAGGTGGAGAATCATCTACAAAATATATTAACTCTGCATTGTAGCATGCAGAGAACTAAGGAGCTGGCTTGTACAAGATAAATCTCTTATTCAGAGGTAGAACAAAACTATTTTAAACAAAAAGCAATACGTTTTGTTTGTTTGATAGCTTTTGTTGCCAAGTTTGTTCCAAAGATGAGTTAAATCTTTCACAGCTTCGTTATATGTGTCATCTAGTGATGTAGCAGACATTATGAAAATTATTCTTGCTACAGGTAGAGGCTGCAAAATGTGTTTCTCCCCCTTTCGAGGACCTTCTAACACAGCCATAATTTTCCAAAACTTTTATGTTTTCTGTCTGAAAGCTTCCATCCCTGCTTGAGACTAGACTGATTTTCTTGACTGAAGTTCTGATACAAATGTTGGACCTAGACCTCCAGAGCAGCACTGCTAATGCAATAAGGCTGACTATGTACAGTCAGACTGCTGATGTTAATGCAGCTTAATGCGGCCACACCAGTTCGTTCAGTTGTTGTCAGCTACACAATCCAACCTTAATCCACTTTGTTTCTAAACAGTGATTTACGATTTAGGGACTGATCCTGAAAACATTCATGCATACATGTTGTTTTACTCATAAGAATAATTCCATGTAGCTAATTTCTGTGAATGGTTCCAATGAGATTACCTAAATACAGGAAAAAGTCTTCCTTCAGGAGGGATTTTCTGTACATTCCTTAAAAAGCAAAAAGATTTCTACCAAACAAATTTAACTGACAATCCCCCACCTCTATAAAGGGCTACAAATTGTGTGCTAGAATCTTTATATTCTAAACACAACGTCCTGTTTGAGAAGTCAGACTTCTTTCCTAGTCTAATGTTTGCTTTCCTGTGAACAAATGAGTTTATCTTATGATTTGAAATACAGAGAGAGGCGTGCAACTGGGTGTGCAACTGTTTCCGGCTACTGGCAGGTTAAAAGTTGTCTCATATTGCTACAGATTTAATTTCCATCCCACTGTTACAACACAGTAGAGTTGTTTTACATATATAAAAAGTGCACAAAGTACTGTTGTAAATGGGTTCCACATGCAACATGGCTTTACATATACAAATCAAATGGTATAAATTCGAGGTAATGCTTTAAAAAAAATCCTCAAATTCTGATCATATAATACCACCATTTCACAGAGAAAAGGAAAACTGAAAAACTCTTTAGGTATTGATTCACAACCTAAAATAGCTTGGGAATATTCTGCCATGCATAATATTGATGATTCGGAGATATAAGGTAAACATACCCTTCTTCACGGAGAGAGGAAAGTTTAAAGTCCTTGGTATCCAGTCAGCTTCTGACTTTTTGTTCCCAAGTTTGCCTTTTCAAGGTAGATTTCCCCTGAGCATGATAGTGAGGTCAAAGAGGGAGCGATTGTTCTGTGAGAAATGTGCCCCAAACGGTTTATGTGCATCTCTGTCCTTTATATTTTTTTCTGTGAGAGTTCATTTTAGTGTGTAAGTGCTGTTTAGTTTCACTCAGATAGTTACCACGAGGGCCTTGGTGCACTGTATTAGATATATCACATTTTGAGAAAGGCATGTAAAGGAACCATGGTTTTATTAATTCTGTTGCCTGATGGTTTTGTTATCGGGGGTGATGATGTAGTGGCAGTGAGGAAAGTTTATAAAGCAAAGGAAAAATTAATGCATTTACATTTTTTTTCTTATCTCCATATACACTCAAGTTGTAGTGCATTTTCCAATTAAACATGACAACTCAGAAGTTAATTAAAACAATGTACACAATACCAGAACTCCTGGTTTATGTATACAAATAGCCAATCATAGAGCACGTGCAAAATGTAAAAGATGTAAAAAGACACTCATTTTAAAGACTGAACTGAAGAATCACATTGTGATGCTCCACCAGAAAAGACCAACCATGGTCCACCAGAGGAGAGCAAACATACTCTAGGGATTACACAGAAATGGTCAGAAAGACAAGGGATACTAATCTGAAAATAGCTCTGTACTTAGAATTAGGGAACATATATTTATACCTTCCAACTAGCTGATCCAAAAACAGATATGATATTGGTCTCTCAAATAGGAAAGTGGCATCATAGCTATTGCTGGATGAAGGGAAAAGGAAGGGAGAATGGCAGACTTCAAAATGAAAGCAAATAAAACAATGCGATACTTAACATATGTCTGTAATGCAGGGCCTCAGTACTTCAGCTGCCAGTCTAGGCACAGCCCGCACACCTAGAACACAGTGTAGGCTAATCTATTTTCCCCTGTGGTTAAATTAGTCCATGCTGAGCTCTGTGCTGCTGTGGCTAGAACTGCTTCCAGTACTCAATCCTTTAAAGCCAGCTTGGGCATCTTTACTCCATACTACAGCCTGCACTGTAGATATATCCTAAAATATTTTAGTCCTTAGGAGATTAAACTGTTCTGAGCCACAGGCAGAGAACAGGAGGGACCAAGGTGACACCAATGCCTGAATCCCAGAAATGCCAGGAAATTAAAAAGGTGAGATATGCCCAGCTAAACCTCCTAGCAAAGAAACAATACACCAAATGTTGCAATCAGTTTGACCCTGGGCCACGTGAGCAAGGCACAATAACAACACATTAAATAAAGATGATTCACTAGACCTTCTCAGAACACTAGTCCACCTTGTCCTATCTAAAGCTAAGGCTTATCTCTGGAAATGACAAACTCCTTCCACAGCTGGTCAGCTGTGAACTGGGGAAAGCTTTCTGCTTTTACTTCCGCAGGCAACAGCCTGCCACATGAGATTCTATCACAGAGTCTACTGAAAACTGGAAAGAGTTATGAGCATGTTGAAATCAATTAAGGCAATCCTATTCTCCCCACTTTTCATGAAAGAAGGGAAAGAACAGCAGGACACTCAAACTCCAAGATTGGAAGAGACCATGGCAATAATTTTCAAAGCAGTCTCTCCAGCACACACAAAAGCCACAGAATTTCTCTCAGAAGCTAAAATAAAACATGTTAAAGACTCCAAAAGACTGTTAATCTACCACCTCACCCGGTAAGGTGACGGATGCACAAATATTACAGCCTAGAAATTATTCTAATGCTGACTTTGTCTAACTTTAGCTTGCTTTGCAAGCACGACTGGAGGTCCTTCAGACTTGCTTCTACCTGCATAAAGATCTCAACTTTCTTTTTGCTAAGCCAAATGCATCGTCCACCCTAAAGTTTGGAAGAGTGTGTTAGTTTGTCCCTGGCTCTCCTTTGAATTCTTTCGAGTATTTCCACATTCTTCTTGAAGTGTGGAGACCAGAACAAGACGCAATATTTTGGTAGCGGTCTTCTCAAGCAAGATCACTTACTTACTCCTATCCAGTATTCCCCATTTTACATATTCAAGAATCTTGATAGCCATTTTTGCCACAGCTTTACATTGAGAGATCCTAATGAAGTGATTTCTTTTGTTTTTAGAAAGCAAGAAAAGGGAACATCAGTCCCCCATCTTTCAGCTACAAACCAAATTACCTTGGCCTTGGCTGTACTGAAATGCATTTGGTTGGATGAAGACCATTTAGCCAGGCAATGCAACAGATATGCAATGTGCAAAGGCAATGGTAAGTATGAGGATGTTTCAAGAACTAGCAGCAATTTTGTACAGGAGCACACCACTTCTCTACATAGCTGTAAGTGATGGGTGTGGTTGACAATGCTGCTATAGATGTTCCCCACTTACGTGTGGTTTCCCTCTTTGTCAAAGTCTTATAGCATGGTCAACCTTTTTGCCGTTAGTTTCGGAAAC